TCTAAACCAATGTACTGTATACTTGAAACTAATTTAAATAAATAAACTTATTATAAAAAGTCAGCATATGAAAAAAAGTTGTCATTCATAATACACTGGCTTGCAAACACTGAGAACATTGGTAGAAGCATGCTTCTACCTTAGGAAAACCAGAAAACTTAAACGTGGTCCACAGGCCAAGCAGACACAGGGCATCTCCATAGGGATCTCATTCCCAAATTAGATGTCTTTTTCACTCTTGCTATTTTAAAAGCGTCTTAATAAGGGGTAAAAAGCTATATGGTTGAATAAATTGAAGAAATGCTACATATTATATCCTCCTCTTGGAAATTCAAAATACATGTTAGTATATTAAAGTTTGATAAGTTTTGCAGCTGGGAAAAAACACATGTTCACTTGAATTCCATATTTCTCAAACTTTTTATGCACAGTCCCTCTTCCCTGTAACGCATTAAAATCCCAGGAAACACCGTTTCAAGGTATACTGACTTAGTAATAGCTATTGCACGTTATTCTCATTATACAGATCAATTAAAATTTAATGTCCTCCTTGGATTAGAAACTTTTGAAGGCAGAGACTACAGTCTTCATATTTCCATCATTCCAATTCCAGTTGTTAATATTTACATAAGGCTATACTAAGTTTGAAGGAACTAAACATTTAAAACTCTGGCACCTTGGAGTCTAACTAAACATGATTTTATTTAGCTATGTATTACTATTTTTTTTCCACCTCAAATCAGAAAACAGAATGTCAGCTATCTTGTATGCAGAAAAAAGATCTCTACCTTTCAATCTCTTTAAGGCCTCTAGCACTCTGAAATTAAAGGCTTAGTAGGCCTGGTGACTATATTACCACGTATACATTAGGACATGGAAGTTATGAAAGATTGGGAGAGAGAATGAGATCAAAAGTTTGCCTAACTAGTTCTATAATTGTCACAAATCTGTTTCCTTTCAGAGGGTGGGAGGGACCTGTCTAATTTGAGGCACACAGTATATGTTGATAAGTATTTGTGAAATGAACCAATGAACTATTTAAAATAAAAAAAATTTCAATTACAGTTGACATTCAATTAGTTTTAAATGTACAGCATAGTGGTTAGACATTTATATATCTTAATGAAGTGATCACCTCAGTAAGTCTAATACTCACCTGACACCATACATAGTTATTACAATATTATTGACTATATTCCCTGCACTGTCTTTTCATCCCATGTGGCTATCTTTTCAATATTCAAAGATACTTTTCTTCTGTATAAAACCTACCCTTCCTGTAAGACTGCCTTAAACCACATCATCTTGTATGGCACACAGAGGTTGGAGAAAGAGAATGAAGGCAGGCAGGCTATGAGAAAGTTCCTCTACTCTGGGAAAGGACTGTGTCTTAGGAGTGAATTACCATGCTGATGAAATGAGCAGCAGAGACTCTAGAAATGAGCTGTAAAGTGGTATTGCTGAGTCCGTGTCCTGTCTTCCTAGAGTTGGTAAGCAGACAGTTATGCAAAGTTTTCCCATTGCCTCCATCACCAAGGAGAAGATCACAATGCAGAACCAGCTACAGCAGAACATGCAGGACTACAAATAATATCAGAATCTTTTCAGGTGTTAAGAAAGGGAGCCATTCTTCTATTATTTAAAAGTTTTCTACAAATGATGCTGTGGTCACTTTCTGTGGTCATGTGGTCAGCAGTTAGAGGATGAGGAGGATCGGAGGGTCTGTGAGGGCAATCTTCAACTGAGTAAACACATGAATAGTCTTGGACTTAATCCCTCATTTCCTGAGCTCTGTGGCCAGCTCAAGAGTACTAACAGATTATCTGTCAATATTGTGACCTTTGAAATTCAGACACACATAAGTAACTCTTGCTCTCTGCCAAGTCATACCTCAATTGGTGTTTGATAAAGGCTTTATTTAGATAGAAAGCAATTCTCTTAACTTTTGTTTCAGAAGGAAATGCTTTATGGATTTTCTGTGGAAGTAAAACTCTGAGAATCATAGGTAAGGCTAAAGTACTATTGGTACTAACTAAATAACCCTTGATAAAGCAAAGGTTTTTCCAGAGGACTCTGAACATATCAGAACTTGGGGAATTACTCAGGTAAACCAGATACTGGAAGGCTGGTCTTAGTTTTTCCTTTTTTACAATTCTCAGTCTGTGACACTTTGCTCTTGCTATTTTTTTCCCCATCTTTATTGAAATATAATAGACAATTAGTTGCTTGTATTTACATTGTATAATTCAATGATTTTTTTCCAATTATAGTCGTTATACAATAATATACGTTTCAGTTGTATAGTATAGTGATGAGATCCGCATAACTCTCAAAGTGATCAGCCCACTATATCTAGTACCCCCTTCTCCCTTATTTGTTACATTATTAATCATCTTCCCCATGCTACACTCTACATCTCCATGTCTATTCTGCAACTGTTTGTACCTTAATCCCTTCGCCTTTTTTCCTGTTCCCCCAACCGAGTATATTTCTGCTTTTATTGTTGTTTATTTTGTTCTTTAGCTTCCACATGTACATGAAATCATGAGATATTTGTCTTTCTCTATCTGACTCATTTCATTCAGCACAATACTGTCTAGGTCCATCAAGGCAATATCTTTTCCATCCTTTTCCTTTTAGTCTGTGTCTGTCTTTTAACCTGAAGTGAGTCTCTTGTAGGAGGCATATGTAGGGGTCTTGTTTTCTTATCCATTCAGTCACACTATCTTTTGGTCGAAGCACTTAAAATTCTTTTCTATTTGAGGTACTTGTTGATGGGAACATAGTTATTATCATTCTTTATTCCTGTTTTAGATATATGTTTTTTTTCTTCTTAAAGAAGTCCCTCCAACATTTCCTGTAATACTGGCATGGTGACGATAAGTTCCTTTAGCTTATTTTTGTCTGGGAAGCTCTTTAACTGTCTTTCAACCCTAAATAACAGCTTTGCTGGATAAAGTAGTCTTAGCTGTAGATCCTGTTTTCATCACGTTGAATATTTTCTGCCAAGCCCTTCTGTACTGCATAGTTTCTTTTGAGAAATCAACTGCCAGTCTCATGGGTGCGCCCTTGTAGGTAACTAACTGCTTTTCTTTTGCTGCTTTTAAGATTCTTTGTATTTAACCTTTGGCATTTTAATTATGATGTGTCTTGGTGTGGGCCTT